GCTGCCGAGTTCAATCTAACATCACAGCATATGACAGCTAACTAACGCATGACATGACGTGTGGCCGTGTGGCCCAGTTTCCGCAAGACTTTCAAGGCTCAAGGGCCCCTGCAATTCGCTCTTGCATAGCTCGCCACTCGTTCCACGTCACCTGGCATTCATCCATGCACGACTTGTTAACATAAAACAGCTTGTCAATCTTCCAGTACTGCACGACTTTCAGGATGAGATTGTGGCCATGTTCACCACGCGCAAGCCTGACGTTGCCCATTCTGCTCGCGGGAGGAGTTGGCCACCTGTAAGAAACCATCAATAATGCAACTGGAAGTTATGTAGACAACCAGGACAGGCAGTTTGAGGCTTGAACCTCAAGCACAAGCACACTGCTCTTGCCCAATACACGAAATCACCCAGCAGTTCACATGCGCCTCGAATCGCTTTGCCTCGTGATAGTCCTTGAAGCCCGTATTAAAATAAGCAAACATGCATGCATTGTTTGCCGGGGCCATGAGTTGACTTGCGCAAAGATTGTGGGGAGTTGCATCTCCTACTACAGCTGAAACAGACCACATCAGTCTCTCGTGCAAACACCAAACGTTCTGGAGCAGGGCTGTTCCTGCGGCTCAAGATGGATCGTTTGTGGACGCTTCTATGAGGTCTGCCTTCACCCCCCTTTCCTTACCTTTCTAGAAACGTTGCTAGTAGCGAGCAGACAGCATGACACGATGACATAACTGGGGCCAGTCACTGCCTTTATGCAACTCAACACTGAGCCAAGCACCGCGTCTGCCGGTGCTTCAAACCCAGTCTGGCAGGGCGCACAGCACAGCATGATGAACCTCCTTTTCCCGTGAACTGGTGAGCAACCCGTCAGCCTCGCAGAGCAAAATCGCATGTATGTATGTATGTATGTATGTATGTATGCATGTATGCATTCCCGCGTGGCTGCAGGTGTACACGCATGTGTATATATACAGCAGAAAGCACGTGCACGGTCCTGCTCTCGCCTCGTGCTGCATTGCGGGATGGGATGTTCAGTCTTGCTTCTCCTATACCTCATGCCAATGATTGCCGAGTTGTAGCACTGTGTTGTCATGGCACCGGCATTATAGCTCTAACGGCTCTACCTGTACACATACATGAAGTTTGGCTGTGCTGCAGGGATATTCTGCTCAGGTTTGTTCTCTACCGTCACAGCGCCTTGTACTCGTGATGCGTCATGCTACGCTACGTTTGTGTTTCGCCCATGAAAGCCACACTACGTGTATGATGTGTAAGGATTTTTGCGCCCGAATTTCAGCCGGCAAAGCTCCACCGGAACCCTTAGCAGCCAGCTTTTCCAGTTCTGCCCGGACCATCCTGGCATCAAGGTTGCAGGGTGTATGTTAACTTTCTGCGGTCAGCAACTCTGTTCTGGTTCAGAAACGCGAAAACGAACGATCATGGTTTTGGTCGCAGTTTCCGTTCTCGACGTCGTCGTCGAGGAACTGGCTGCCGCGATGGAAGTGGGCAGTCGCGAAAGCAGCAGCGGTAGTGGTAACAGTAGCAGTAGCAGAAGCAGCAGCAGCTGCAGCAGTTCAAGTAGCAGTAACAGCAACAGTCGCAGTAGCCGCAGCAGCAGCAGTAGCAACAGTAGCAGTAGCAGTTGGCAATAAGAGTAGCAGTGGTAGTCCAGCCTAGGGGAACGGCTGGGCTTACGGCATGCTGCAGCGCTGCCGCACAGCTGTTAGTTAGCACAGCAGGTTAACCATGAACTATGCAGCTGAGACCCGGACAGGGCTCCTTCACCCTTGGGCTCAATCCTTAGTCAGTAGTGACTAATGACGCAGGCGCAGTCGGCAACGGGAACTTATCATTGCGACCATCAGGCGTCGATACAAGCTGCTGAAAAGCTCGAAACTCAGCGAATCCTCTCCCTTCCGAGATTCCGGCTCTAAGGCACTTTCGAAGTCGCGCTTGGCATCTGCTGCGACCTCAAGGCATTCTGCAGTAGCGCGCTCTCGGCTCGTTCAGCACTGCCAGTTGCACATCCTGCTTGGCGCTCTTGGTAACCTGCTCCAAGCTGCATTCTGGCGAGGCCGCGCCGATAGAAACCCTGCAACATTTCGGAATTCCGGACGTTGATACAGCACTGCTGTCGCAATGAAACTTCGGCGTCATGGCTTCATCAGACCATGCCCAAAGGTGTGAAAGGTACACGACCAGGCTTCAGTTTGCATGTAAGCCTACGGACTCTACGGACCGTGACTCGCTCCAGATTCTAGATGCGCCTGGCCTTGCTGCATCGTCCCATGCGCAAAGCCCGGGTGGCGAAGTCCTCTGCGGCTTCCCAGTCCTGCCCCCATCAGCTCTGTTGAATGCAGGTAAGGTCGAGGGGCGAAAAGCACAACCAAAACACAAACGAGAAAATGCCTTTTCAAGAAACGGGCGTTTTGGCCGCTACTGCTCCTCTTCAACCAACTTCAAGAAAAAGCAACAGTTGGTGAATTGGTGGCAGCTTTTCCCGAGAGTTTTGCTTGAATGATTTGCATAGTCTTCGTCACGGGTACTCATGCAGCATCATTGTGTTCATCCAATGGAGGCTTCTAAGGCGTTGTAGCCTTGTAGCATGACAAGACGAATCAGACTGAGAACGATTTCCTGCAGCCAAGCTTTCCACAGCCAGCTCGGGACTTCTTACGGAAACCAACGCTTCTGGAGTTGTGTTGTGGTTGCCGATGCCTGCACATACCACCCAATTAGTGCTGCTTCTCCGACTGCACCCTTGGCCTGCCGAGTCGCTGACTTGGATTTGGCATCGCGCCAACACAAAACATGCCTGAAAAAACTGACGCGGCGCGGGATGTCATGCGAGGTCTGTGCATCGCCAGCTGCACGCAGACGTGCCTTGGGAGCCTTCGGGCCGTAACTCGCTCACCGTTTTAGGCTCGATTTGTCAGCATTGTTCGATGGACCCACAGCAGCAGCTTTCAAGGTCGCATTCATGCAAAAGGAAACCTTCACCAAGATTGAATTGGATCGCAAACTTTGCTTCGCTGCCTTCCAGAATTGGAACGACTGACATGCAGATCGGAATGGATCTCGACAATCTTTGTCCGGAAATGGATTTTTCCAGCGACTCGTTCAAGAACTGTTCGAAAGTGCGCGGTGTGGTTTACATTGCAACGACTTACCTTTTGCAAATACTAAGCAATGTCTGTCATGGTTTTAACTCTGCAACCGCGAAGATCGAAAATATCGAACACCTGCTCTACCGATCTTTCTTGTGTAAGTTATCTACATGTGCGGGGACATGTGGGCGTCAATGGTGCGCTTGGCCGGGCCACAGGCCCCAGTATCAGTATGCAGTTACGCAGGAACACAAGGGCTCGTCGTGCTTTGCATCTTTGCCGAGCCTGGTGCAAACAGAGCATGTTGCGAATGATGGCAAAGCTGGTAAATTGACGACCATGTTCCGTCGGAGCTGCGGTAGACGTTTCATAACGCTAACACGGAGTGCAAAAGATTGCAAAAGCAAGCCATTTGACATGGTTGGGTGGTTCGTGACAAGAAATCACCAGACGATGAGGCCACAGAAGTTAGAATGAGGCTACCGAGGCTAATGGCACAGAAGGCTTGGGCAGCGAATCGCGCGAATTGGTGCAGTTTTCCTGACCGCGCGAATTTCGGTAACTTCAGTCGAGCAAGCCCAAGACAACGTGGAAACACGGCCGCATCCTCCAACCGTAGACAGGCAAGGGAGGCATTGAGGTTCAAGGATGTACCTTGCTGGCTCAGCTGAGGCAAGCAGCACCGGAATGACAGTGACCCTGGCGTTGAGCTGCACACCAGCCCACATCCCAAGATTCAGTCGAGACGAACTGCTCCGAAAGCTCTGTGCTTCGTAACAGAAGAGACAGATCCGCTGAAGTCTTGCAGCTCAGCTGCCAAGGCCAGCTGCAGCGCTGCCCGTCGGAATCTGGCACTCGCAATAGTGGCTCTCTGAAAATCTGCACTGCTTCCAGGGTGGTGTAGTCGGGCTTGAAGCTTCAATGTGCCATCGGACTGCTTCGCAAACTTATTCTGTCAAGCACTGCCAGCACACAGATCTTTTCGCTCTGCGATGCCAGTGTCCAGCTTGAAATTCGCTGGTTTCGCTGCCTGCTAAAGCACTCTTAGGTTACTATCACTCCTTGTCTGACGACTACCATTAGTGCTACTACCCCTGGTCTGGATTCCGATTCAACTTGTACGCCTTTCAACCATCGCTATACATCGCTATGGCTCTGGTTCGACAATGAATTGCTGACATCCTCCTGTCTGGTTCATGGGTGATCGAGATTCGTCCGCTTGGGTTCGAGCCGCGGTGGACCAGGGTGAAACGAAAAAACTTCTGCATGCAAGCGAGATGGGTTGCTGGCAGGACCTGCCGCCCACATGAGTATCCTGAAGTAGGGCCAAAACATAGGTGAACTCAACCAGAGGCCAAACAAACCCGGATGCCCATGAAATTTGAGCCAAGGCCAAGCCTGAGCATCTTGCTCTGAAAACTGAGGGATCTGCGACTTCAAGTCGCAAACCAGCTGCAGCATCAGCTATTCTGGCATGGCAGGCTTCAAAAAAACCTGCCACGCTCCGCCGAGCTGCCGGCCGAGCTTGGGGAGCTCACCAAGGCTCCATGATCAGACCGATCTTATGTTCATTGTGCTCAGTGTAAGAAGGAGACAGGATCCCAGACACCGGGTGTGTAGCCTTGTTCAGGGGCCATGGGTGGCCATGGAGCAGGGAGCTCCGACGCCAAGTTCTGCATGCAAGCGTGCACTCATCAGACCCTACTCGTAGCCGGAGAACTCGGCAGCTGCAAGTTGTTTGCAGCATCAGTGAATAGTATCAACCCCACATGTGCCTCATGCTGACAGCCAAAGTGCCCAAGTAGCTCTGCCGATGTACATATTGAACATGTGAACTATGACTTCTTGCACCATGTCTCCGAATTCTGGCAAGTTCTGGTTCTCAGCCCATCAGGGCAACCAAGCCACCTGTCAAGCTAGGTACGCACTGTTGTTGAACCCATCATCACACCCCGGTTTCTCGTCGCACGAGGCCAAGCACATGACCCGCCTCTGCTACCAGCAAGGGGCCAAAGGGCTCGTTGTTGGAATCTGCCAACACCCACACCTCTGCAGGCACCGAGTGCTTGCTGAATCTTGCTTGCGGCACTTCTGTCACATGTTTATAACCATTCGACGTTCGCCGAGTCCAGCGCATGGCGAGCAAAGTCGTTGCCATCCCCTTCGCCTCGCTTTGGCACCTGTCACACGTGCACAGGCCGGACGAGATCGCACAAGATGGCGGAAGGCGGCCTGTCCTAGTCACTACCACCAGTGGTACTACAGTAACCTTCGGCTCGCCACACCGATACACAGCATGCCATTACAGCAGATTGCAGCGTCAGAGCCGGCCTCAAGCTGCAGGGCGAGCTCCACTTGAGCACCAGGCATTACCGCTTGCCCCAACTCCCTTGGCATGTCAGATGACTCTGCCCGGGGCAAAACAAGATTCGCTGCTAGATGCTGTATGAGGAAATGGCAGACCCCACAAGCCCATCCCGGCTCCGTGGATAAGCCTCGCAGCGCTTGGCTGGATTGCACAATCAAAGTCTACTCAACGCTTGCGGCGCTGCATGTCAAAGCTGCGCTTCTGCAAGTTTCGCTCGACAAAGGCGCTGCGCCATGCTGCGCCTCAGTCTCGTGGTGGGAGGCCACGCGGCGGCACCCACGTTCGCAAGGTTCAGGTTCGCTTGTAACGCGACCTCCGTGGTCCAGGCTGGAGTCCCGGAGGCTCACGGATACGCTCTCCGTCTCCGGCCTGCTTGTTATTCAGCAAGCTTCGCGTGACGAAGATCTGCACGAAGCGGAAAGTCTGGCGCCAGAGCCAAGTTTCTTGCCGCTCGAATGAACCTCAGGCTTTCGGCCCACCACCCAGGCCTTCGTGACCTTCGGGAAAAAGGCCATGGCTTTGCCGAGATCTGCCTGGTGAAAGCCGATTTGAAAGGAAAACAAGGGAAACAAGACGAATCACCTAGTAGGATGCCTGATGACCCAGAATAATCCAGAATAGGTCAGGCGCTGCTAGCTGGCCGGGGGGCTACTACTTCCTGAAAATTCCTGCGCCTGTATCTGAAACCCTGGAACCAACAGGCCCTGCATGCGGCCTCCAAACAGTGGCATGGCACGACGAAGGCATCGATTCAAGCATGACACGACTCGGCGGAATCTGCTGCTCGACATTGCTCGACTCCAACAATCGGGACAGTAGGCCCCAGTCGCCGAGCCTAAGATCGGCAATTCCCTTGCCTCGATCATCCCGGTGGCAGCCAGATCCTGCGCGCGCGTTCGGCCAAACCCCGGTCGGGTTCCGGACGGTCTCTCACGTAACGTATCAGTCCTGGGAGAGGGCCTTGTGCCAAAGCTCGACACGGCAAGAGCCGGTGCTAACCTGCTCAAACCGCAGGCCATCAAAAGCACGGAATGTCAGACAGATCTTGGCTCAGATGTTGATCGGTGAGAACGAGACAACTTCGAGGCTTCGCGACACCCAAGGTCGAAGAAGGTGCCTCGGCAGCCCACAGAGGCACCTGTCGAGAAACCTGGAAGCACGGAAGAACGCGGCATGGTCAGGTTGTGAAGGATAGGCTTATGATTCATTATTTGCCTGGATGTAATGCTTGCTGGCGAGGGCTTTATGGTGCTCGACAAAATCCTTTGCCAGCAGGCGTTGTCCTTTCTGTTCACGTGCGTCGGACACAAGTCCGAGGTGAATAGGCGGTATCTCTGCGACGGCAAGTGTTGACAACGTGCGGAAACCGCGCCAACTGTTGCTCGCCACGCTGCTGGCTGAGCGGGTGCTGCCGCAGCAGGCGGAGTCGTCGGCACTGCCTCGCAACCAGGGCTGGCTTGCGACAGCTCCAAAGCCGTTTGGAGGTTTGGCCATCATCGAAGCTAGTTGCTGCCTACGTCGAGGGCCTCCTCAGCAAAGTACCTTTGAACCTTGAGTCGTCCTCATTAGCACCCAGACGGGAACTGAAGCCGCTGTTACAGGTTAGGTCTCTGGCAGGCTCCAAGCCAGGCGCTGCAGGCTCCAGGGTCGTATGAGCTGCCGCGACCGCAGTTGTCGTAGCCGTCGAACTTGTGCCACTATCGGAAGCATCCTCAGCGAAGTGTGGAAAATGCTGCAGTTGGTATAAGAACCTGAAGGGCAGAAATCCAACCCAACCCATACTACTCACGGCATCTCACGGCCAAAACTGCCACAACGATCACAAGTAACTTTGGCCATGTGTCGGGCTCAGACTGATTTGCCCAAGCCTGCTCGATGAACCCAACTTCCATGTCCGGATGCTCAGACCTAGCCAAGCCCAGCCTGCTCGGACACATCTTTCGGCACCGCGGTGGCGTTCTCATGGGACTCCTCCATTGACGGCAACGCTATCAAATATCCGATCTGCGAAATCGAAACCAAACTCTAAGTGGTCCGAAAGATTCCTACTTCGTAGCACATCTCGGCCTCTTCGGGCGCAGGTCTCGTCTCAGTGGTGGCGATGCCATGCTGCACTTCGTCATGCGGCACCTCCGGTGCAGTAGGATTGTTTCACCACGCTCAGGGAGTCAGAAGCTGCTTGCAAGCTCCAGCAAGACGGCATACGTTAAAATTGTGGCTCGTTGGGTGGGTGAACTTGCCTACTCGCTTCGTAGCCGGACAACCTCTATTGAATGCAGTCCTTGGTCTAGCTGTCAACAGACACCACTGGTTCCTTGGTTTAGGGTCACTACAGTCTGGGATAAGCTTGCCTCATTAGATTTGCCTCAAGTTCGGAGTTACTACAGAGCTGGCATTGAAAGAGCACAGCACTGCTGCATGCCTTTTGGTCGATGCTGGCCCAGACTTGCTGCCATGGTATGACCTGACAATTTCATTCCGAAACCACATACCTGTGGAAGCAAAGCTCAGGCCGTGCTCAGGCCCGGGCATCCATCGCGAATGCCACGGCCACCAAGGCCACCAGCGTGGAGAGGAGCAGCATGCAACGGGTTTTCTGCGCAGCGACCAACTCAAGAGCAACACGATTTCATGTGGCTGCCCAAGAGAGTACGACAGACAAGGATGTAGACCAAGTCTGAGACGATGCTGTATCCGTCGTTTGAGGCGGAACGTCATGTCAAGCTGAGTGCTGCGTGGCACTCCGAGCTGGGAAGCCGACTGCGGAGCTGGAAGATGTCCTCCAGGAGACAAGTGCAAAGCTGAAGGAAGCGGCTTCTTGAAGCCCTGCTCCTGGCCTGCTCACCTGCCGCTTCAGCTCGACAACTTCTTGCCGCAGCTTCACACCTGATGGATGTCGCTCCCACACTTCAGAAACGAGGAAGCAAACAAAATATAAAATTGCCTTGCAACATCTCAGAGCCTATCTGAAAGCAGCATGCCCATGCCCGGCAACAGGGAACTTGACATGTCGAACTGAGAATGCTGCTCTCGAGGACCTTCTCCTGCAGGTCTTGCAGCTAGAAACTAGTGCATGCACATATATTTCGTTGATCTACCTATCCTTTCATGCACTTATCTCGTATATGATTTATGTTTATAAAACCGTATGGAAATTCTTGCAGTTGCGAAAACGTTAACAGCACTGGTATTTGTTTGCTGTCTTCCAATCGCATCACTACCAGGTCGATCTGCGCGTCCTTCTCGGAGCGCTTCAGAACCCGGGCCAATTCGAGGGCCTTCTCTCTGGGCATGCCTGACAATTACGAACCAAAGGCAGTGCCACGTCTGGCATCTGCACCCTACATAACTGAACATGGAGATCCTTCTGAGGCGAGGCCTGACAGCAAACCGAAACTGAGCCGCGAGCTGTTCATGAGCTCGAACTGCCAGTCCTTCTGAATCCATGTTTGAGGAGAGAGCTCTTGGCTCAGGTTGGCACTGAGGTGCAGGCGTAGTGCGAAAGCTCTCCGTCACCGGCCTGGCGGGCAAAGGCTGAAAGGGCAGCAGTTTCGAATCGCACCAGAATGCACCCGACCAGCCTGGCTGTCTGGCATGCCATCGGTGCTCTCCGCCTGAATGACAGTGCTGGCAAAGTAGAAGGTGTTTCAAGTGGAAACCTTCAGATGCGAGGCAGAAAGCAGCGCAGCCCAACATACCCTCCTCGTCTTCACTCCCGGTCTTGGCCATGTCGCCAGGGCTTGGGAAGTGATCGTCTCGGCCAGGCACAGTCGTTGGGCAGCACCCATGAGAGAAAACTGGACCCCGTCTTGAATGCAAGCTCAAGCAAAAGTTCGAAACGTCATTTACACTTCAAGCTCGGCGCCAGCGCGTGGCGAGGGCCTCGGGCAAAGGCTAGCTCCCAGGTTTCTCACCCTTGGGCTCCTCTCTGGGGCAAGGGCGGGGGAGTGTCTCCACTGTGCATACAGAAGAGCTTCCCGACACCAGCATCCTCCGGCGTCTTGTCCTGACATCTTCAAGCCGTGGACTCTGGCTTTCAATTCAAGCTTTGATGGGCTGCTTGCAAGACCCGCGCATCCTGTGGACTGAGAGATGCTGGCTTGCAGCCCGCATCTGCGCTTCCTCTGGAGGGCTCCTTTGTGAAGCCTGGGTTCAGGAATTCCAACAGCTTCGAGTCTTCGAGTGTTGAGCAGTCCACTGCCAAAGTCGTGTGGCAAGTGTGGCTCTGGCAGGACACCGTGCTAAGACCAACCCCTGAGGGACCAACAGTGATTGTTTTCTGCCCCTTCAGATCGGAGGAGCCTGCGCAAGAAGGCTTCGACAGAGGTCGCCTATGAATCCCATCACAATCGAGCTCCTCGTTCTCAAGATCTGCTCCAGCCGAGAGTCGCCACCTGCCGCGTCGAGTCGTAGAAGCGATTACATGTTCAGAGCTTTGCCCTGGGTAAAGAGAGGCCATCCCGACTCGCCTGCTGCGGTGACCATGCCTTTCAGCACTTCATGGCCATTTTGCATGGGTGTCACTGACAGCTTGTAACAGCTTGTGTCAGTGTTGACTCATTGGGATTCTCAAGACTGAGACAGTGATTAAAATGATTAAACCTCCCCTGACTCCATATCCACGTGTTTTGGTGGAGTCCGCACAAGGACCAAGTCATACGCCAGAAACTCATGAACTTCTGGGGCACGGGCCGTGTGGCTGGTGCTGCTGGACTCCACGTCACGGGAGAAATTGAAAATGGTGAGCGGTGTTTCGTATTGAACTCTGGGTGGGGTGGTCGGGTTGATGGCTCACGCCGGCCCATGCTAGTCGCCGGTCAATGCTGCAGCCACGAGGCTGTACTGAAAATAGGTTCACCAATACAACCACATCGGCCGCTACATGTTGTTGCCCAGCTCGTGTGTCCTTCTAGAGCGGATTGAGAGCTGCAACGGAGCTCTTGAACCGTGAGAACGCACGCACACAGCCCCTCACCCACAGCCCCTAACCGCGCAGAGTTGCAACCGATCTCGGCCAATGCACATGTCTCGCCATCTCACTTCCTCCCCCACACAGAGCAAGAATTGCAGGCCACCTTGCCCTTGCCCTCGATGCGTGCAAGTGCTGATCGGTAAGCAGCCAAAGCCTCGGCCGCTTGCCCGGCCTTGGTCGCTGGGATCCCCCCAACCGAATCGTGACTTGCACCATGCCAAACGATGGAAATCTGCTCGCCCGGTGCCTTCAATTTGGTGTTGCCATGGGCCTTCAACTTGTCGGCCTCGGCTACAAGCCAAAGGCTGCCAAGGCCCGTGTCTACGGAGCAGTTGATGTCTTCATGACATGCACAGTTCTGCGAGCTTTGGGCCTTGCGCCCTATCAAGCTCAAGGGACTCAAGGGACTAAAGGCATCGGGAACCAGGCTTTGAGCAGGCTTGGCTCCGCACCTCTGCATCAGCAGCGCCAGATCCGGGGCCATTCATGGCGTCAGCTAGGGAAAGTACAAGGAGCTCATCTGTCTTTGTATTCTGGTTCTGTTGCATGGACAAGCCAAATATCCCTCGTGGGCTCTCAGGTAGGGTCCGCCCCGATCCGTCCATGCCTCCCCGTCTTGAATCCTGAACCGTCACAGTCTTCGAAAGGCGACAGATCACGTTCCGCATGAATCATCCTGAAAGCAAGCAGGAAGACAGCAAGCTCATGCAAGCTCGCCAGTCCGTCGTGCAAGACTGTGGCTAAATATGAGCTGCTTCCAAGCAACACTTAGCTTGCATGGCAGAGCTTATGGCATGACAGGTCATTCCGTCAGGTGTCCTTCTGTCTCTCTTAAGACCGACCTCCACACGACGACAAACCTCAAACCACGCAACACTACCTGAGACCTCCCATCCCTGAACCTGAGCCTTGAGGCGACAATTACGGCAAATGATATGATATTACAGGACCGGGGGGCGTCGTGCATTTACGGACTTCCTCCCGACAGCGAGCTACGTTCAGGAAGTAGTTACTATTTTCTAAAGTCTTTCAGCATGCTCGATTATGCTTTGTCACATTCCATTCTGCTAAAACTGCGGCCCACATTCCTAATCAAACGCTGATCAATTTCACGTGTGTTGGCATCCAGCCGCACTGAGGACGCCAAGCTGCCGCTGAACAGCTTTACATGTCAGCATTTTCGCAAACATGTGACTACTCAGGGGGCCTCTGATGCCACCTGTCCTACCGATAAGCCGCGCCACCCCTCCAAGTGCAGCACACAAAAGAGCTACGCGGGCACCTTTCCCATACCTACATGCATGAAGCCAACACGGTGCATGCTTGCTGGGCTGGTCGCGGAGCCCGTTCCGTCGATGCTAATGCTAGAGGTCCGACGAATGACGGCTTGTTTCTGGCTGTTCTGTGTCTTACCTTGTGTGCGAGATATTCTCTTCGAACCTCCCAAGTGTCGCAGACAAGCCCGTGGACAGGAGGTGAAGGTAGGCCGCACAATTCTTGCCGGCTGGTATGAGCTCTAGAGAATCCTAGCACCAAGATCCTATGCCTTTCACGCCTGCCCTAAAGGCAGTCTGCCACCTAAGTCACAATGCTAAGGTCCCTCAGTCAAGCGGCTTCATCAGCCTGACGAGCACTTCACATACAGGGAAACAAAGCAGTGGCGACAGAGAACACAAGCCCGGAAGTCTGCACTGAAGTGCGCAGAAGATGCAACGGGCAACTGCCTTTTTAGCTTAATGACCCTGAGTCACACTGTTGTCTGGTCTGGTATACCAAAGGGATCGCACATAGCATGTCGATGCGCTAGCTCAGACTCAAGTGCACTCAGGACAGCTAGACCTCTTCGCGACTCATGACGGGAAAGTGATTTACTCTGAAATTGAGCCCTCTTCCTTGACGTTCGTTGACGGAAAGGGGTATTATGGTTACTTCACGCCGTCTGCAGCGACGCGCGAGTCGTCGTCGGGTTTCGTCGGCAGCGGCCTTTGTCTCATTGGCCTTCTTCGTGCAAGCTTTGCCGCAGTGTTCGCACCGGGGATCTCCGCAGCCTTTGCCTCAGCCCCTGCCACTTCCCTTTCCGCACAGGCCGACAGAACCGGGAAAGCCCTGAAAGCCCCGAGATACAACGAGTTCATGTGCTCTGTGTAGCGGCCGGTAAGGCCGCTACTGGGAGCCGGATCAGGATCACATCGGCGAACCTCAGAGCACAAGCTAGCCAAACCTTAACCCTCTCTTTTTCACTCTTCCTGTTTGTTGCGAGGACGGCATTAGGATCTGAGCCCGATATCTCACGACATGCAGCATGCCTCGACTCATCTTGAAACCCAATTTTGATCACGCTCACCGAGGCATTCACAATACGAGTCTTCTGGTTCCTCCTCTTTCGTCCCACTATTTGGGCCGACCTGACATGAAAACAGTCTCAAAGGAAGGGGCACCTCAGAATGCCATGTAGCCGTCTACACCACACGATACCGTATTATATCCGCACTGCTAATTGTAATAGTTGTACTACTACGACTACTACGAATACTGCTACTACTGCTGCTTCCTCTTCTCTGCAGCACCCCCGCTACAAAGTCTCGGAAACTAAAGCCACAGGGCAACTAAAAAACCGTGATTTGTTGGTTCGGAGTCTGTTGGGCGTTCAGATTCCATCGCATGAAGCACGTTGCCATGGTGAAATCTTAAAGAACGGCTTCAAACATATTGCCCTTGCCGGACAAGTGCGGTAAGTCACACAAAAGCACCACGTGCTGTCACCCAGGCACCGTCCTGCTCGTCCCTGCAAGTTACCCTGAAACTTACTCCACCAGCAGCAACACGGCGACAATGGCCAGAGTGCAACGGCAACAGCCACAGCCGAGCAAGAACCACGACTTCCTCTGGGACCCAAAAACTCAAAGACTGAAAGGCATCAGTAAAAACACACGAAATGCCTCTCCCGGAGCAAGCGCCGCTTCTCTTCGACGTCTTCACCCTCCACGGCCTTTGCAGCAAGTTGGACAAGTGTTCAACTCGAAACATCTCGAGGAATGCAAAGATTTCAACAGTGACTCCGACCTGTTCCTGAACCGTGTTCTTGTCATGTCCTATCCCTATCCATCGTAACTCTTGAAACTGCGCGGCTCCGTGCCGGAAGCAGAAGACTCAACTGACACCACGTAACACAAAAGACACTTCCAGTATTTGCCGGGCCTTGCGATCATCTTCCGACTCGGAACCCCTCGGTCGAAGGTGATGCTGCAAGCGAGGGCTCTGCCTGTTTTAAGCTTAATCTAGACTTTACACATGCAAACCCTGTAAGCCAGCACTGGACTAGCTGCCCTCTGGGGCTGACAAGCAAGAACACGTGAAACATGCAATCCGGGCTGAACACTCCTCGTCGTCATCATCACCCTGCGCAAACGCAGGATGCATTCCCACGTGATTCGATGAGTGTCCAGAGCCTCGTCATCCCAGTCCTGCAAAGGATGGGAGGCTGTGCATGCAGCAGCTCCCGTTGAATGCGCAAGGCTGGTGATTTGCGGCAGCAGCACTTCTTCAGAAGACATAGACACAATGAGTGAGGTGTCCCCCCACCGCTATGTCTCGCAATGGTTAGCTCTCGGCTTGGCCCCTGATACTTTCACCTGACACCAGATGGGTCGGGTAGTGGGCGAGCAGCACCATCGAGCCATGGAATCTGCGAGACGAAGCTCGAAAGCTTTATATTGGCCGCACTGGGGCACGATTTTGACCATCACACGTTCACGACGTGCGTGGTTCCTTTCGCATTCTTTCGGCACATGCTAGAGCAGCAGGAACAGGACGAGGCAGAGAACTGGCAACTTTCAAAAATGATATTCAGAGGCGTGCTACAGGAAAGCCGGGACGACATCCTAGTTGCCCCCGCCAGCAACAATCATACTCCCTTTGAGTCGGCACTGTAGATGTGAAGGTAGCTGCAAGTAGCAAGGCAGAGCATTGAAGAGACTGCTTGTTTCTTTGGTGGCTGGGCCTCCTGGCTTCCCGGGACAGCCTTCAACGGAACCGCGCAAGTTACCTTCTGCGGCCCAGATTGGGACTGAGTAGCCCAGAAACTGAGACTTCCTACCCAACAAGGCCCTTTTGCCCATACAAAGGGGTGTTCTGATGGAGCCTGTCCTCGAGCAGGAGTCCATCTTTTCGCGGGTGGGGTGAATCCACGCGCATCTGCCAAGTCGTGCACCGTGCAGCTCAAGGTGAGGTCAAACTTCACTCTACTGATCCACCGCATGCCGCAACTTCTCCACAGCTGAGGTTTGCCGTCCACGCAGAGCCCGCAGACCCACACAGCAGCTGTCCGAGGCTGCTGCACGCGAGGAAGTCACTGGCTCGCACTTCAATCCTTGGGAGGTCGTTGACACAGGCTTGCGGAAGTGGGGCATGCAAACAGGCCGTTTCACATCTGATGCTTGATACCAGGTGACGATCGACTCGAGATCCACGAGGGAAGAACTGTCCTGGCATCGCTGGTGAGCCAGTAGGTCATGGTAATGCACGAATGCCCAGATTCAACCGGAAGGATCTTCTGAACAACTGCTGCAGGAGGTGCGCATGGACTTCTCCGATGTGTCCGACTGGGAGACGCCTGCTGGCCTTGCACAAGATCGCAGGTTGCTTTCTCAGGCGTCTAAGGGCTTCTTCCACAAAGGCCGGGGCGGTTGCTGTGAGCCGGCAGGTGCAAGATCCTGCGCGCCAGGGATGTCTCGCCATCTGAAGCTGGGCTCTTACTGTATTTCGTTGTCCGCGTACCTGCCTGACTGCGCACTGCTGTGGGGTGTTTGTTTTTCCATGGTACGCTTCTGGATTTGAGGTGTGGGGTCGGAGTAATGCGCCATCTCCTGTACTCGGATGTCTGGCACGGCTTTGGCCAACTGTTTCTGCTTCTGCCTGCAGAGGCTCATACCGCCGCCAAGTCTGCAAAACGCAGGTTCAAACCACATGCTGCAGCAACGGTGAAACCCAACGCAATTCTGCCAAGCTCTCTTCGATCACAAGATTGCCAAGCTAAGCTGCTTCTCTCGCTTCTGCTTTGCTTTGGAAGAAGACCTTACACAAGCAGATGCTCCCGGTGATGGTGATGCCATCGTGCTGCTCTTTGTAGCGTGTGCACACAATGCATCAGCACGACACGGACAATGCCCCTGAGTGTCGACGAGCGGCGAGTTGCTTTCGGCTTGCAGGTCCACCTTCTCTGCCAGTATGTCCGGGTCCCTCGGAGTGGCATGAACACACTCGCAGGCTCTATGATACTTTTCCATGCGGCCTTGGGGAGCTTGAGACAAGTAACGGCCCGACCAAGCACCAATAGTTTACTAATATAGAGAATAAGTTATACTCTCAGATAAGATCCTCAGGTGCCCCTGTCTGAAACTCCCCGGTGAGCAAAGTACCTGAGGCCGCGTCCGGCCGACTGTCAACAACTCCTTGAGGTGCGCGCTCTTCTTTTCCAGCTCTTCCAGAGTCCTGGCTGTCACCTCCGAAGCTGGCGGAGGCAGGGTGGCCTCCGAAAACAGCTCCGGTTTCTGCGTCGTGAAGTTCATGGTAGTCGGCAAGGCCGCCGTGGCGATGGCTGGAGTTGGCACAAGGCTTTCTGCTGCCTGCTTGCTGCTGGTATCCAGCATGAGGAAGTCCGCCCACTCCTGACTCTGCGTGCCCCTCTCAGGTTCCTTGCGCTTCTTCGACGGCCGCTCATCCACAAGGAAAACGGGCTCGGGCGCGGCATCCGGAATCTGCCCTTGTTGGGTGTGCCCAGCGGGCTGGGCCGGCTTGGTGTTTGCTGTGGCTGTCGCCTTGGAAGGCTGCGAGGTCTGCGACTTGGAGTTTTGCGTTCCTGTGGCTGTTTCCTTCTGCCCTTTCTCCGTTTCACTCGACGCCTTCTGGTCCTGTGGCTTCTTGCCTTGCTGCTTCGGGTCTTGCTGTTTCTGATCCTGCTTCGAGTCTTGTTGCTTCGACTCTTTCTGATTTTTCCCCTTCTCCGGCGCTTTCTGCTGCGCTTTGTCCGCCTGATCCTTAGGAGCTGTCTCTGGCTTTTGTTCCTTCGCTTTGCCAGGCTTCGGCTCCTTCTGAGCCTTCGTCTTCTCCTCTCCCTCCTCGTCCTTTGGCTTCGTGTCGGCCTTCTTCTTGCTCTTCCTTGGCAGGCGGATTCCCGAAGCAAAAGCCTCGGACTCCCAAAGACTGGGCCTAGGGCTCCTCTTTGGGCTTCGGCGCCTGCTGCAGATCCTGGCGTGGCATCCATGCCAGGTGGGCAGGCTCTACCGGATACCGGATTTGCTTGCGCTCTCTGTGCGCAGGAAAAGAGGGACTTGTGGAACTTCAGCAGAACACCGACTGCAGACATGCGCGCGCCTCTACATACACAAAGGATAATGCATTTCGCAGTTGACGAAAGGCTTTAGTGTCACCATGAAGTGTCGCCATAGCAGAGCACTTCTGAACGAACAGATGCTCTCAAAGGCATCGTGTCCGCTGCCTGTGTGTGGCCAGCCGCTAGACCCCGCAACAGTAGATTCTCTCACAGCAGCTGGCGTAATCCCATTTTGAGCAGTCGTGCCTTCTTTGGTTCTGGCACCTTGCGCACCGGGTGTGGGATAACACAACCGGCTCTTCGACTCTTCAGCCTATTCCTTCTGGTCACATAGCCGGCGCTCTGAGCGAGGCACCGGCTTGGCTGTGGCTGTGGCTTTGGCCCTCAGATCCCAGGCGTCGCATCTACGGACAATCACCCATTGTGGCTTGGCCACGTAACTGGAGACTGGGAAGGCCAGTAGTGGTCATAATATGAGTTCGGATTCCAAAGGGGCCTGATTCCCATCATCCGTACCTAGCGGACCAAGTCACTTCTGCTTCGGGGCCGGCGATATCTCCTCACGCAGTCACCCCGCCCGCTAGCTGAGAGATGGTTGCATACACAGATCCAGTAGGCTCAGTAGGAGATGCAACGGCTGCTAGGAAACGCCGTCAGCCGTGCTTTCAGCATGTGTGTCAAACCGGCCGAACTTCCGCAGCGCAAGACCCACTGCTCCAAAAGCTGATGAAAGAGCACTACAATCAGAAAGGCTCATACAGCCCTGTAAGTAAGACCTCCGTCACCGGCTATGCTAAGCACGTCCAACCGCAACAGAGCACAGTCGCTTGCCTTTTTCCGCCTCCTCATGCTGCGCACCCGTCGATGTGTTCTGGGGTCCACCTTACGCATAGCCCGCTTCTTCAAGTGCCTTCTGGTCCTCAGCCGACAGCTTCACCGCCTTCAGGGCCTTGGCTTCAACATTCAAGCGAGACGTGCCGAGGCAACCGAGAAATGTCCCAATCGAATCCTTCAGTTTGAGACGATATCATGTACGAAGATCGCAGCTGAGACCGAGGCTTCCGAGCGCGCTCGCTTTGCGGCCACCTGCCCAGACATGTTGGTTTCAAAGGCTGACCCAATCATTACTTTACCGGGTAGCATCAGGTGTTTCATAGGCCCCTGCAACCCATTCGACAACATCTTTCTTTTCCCTCTCGCATGAGATGCTTTTTTTCTCATGTTCAGGGGCTGCCCTGCTGCCAGACCCCAAACCCTCACCCCTGAAAGGGTCAAGCGGCGCGCCTTCTTCTTGTGGAATGCCTCGCTCTTCACTTTGCGCTGGCTCTCCAAGCGCTCGATGAGAGCGCCGTGCTTCCATCCGACCTGAACCGTATTACCATTGATTTGCTTGCATGCAGATACCTGTCGGCGCAAGGCTGCGTGCATCTAGCGTTTTCGCATGCTTGCAGCATCTGGCAGCCAGAACCAACAACCGTGTTGTGCAACACAAGTGTTGCACATGCAGGATGCAGTTTCTCAGCCGGTGATGTGGCAGGGGAAGGATGGGGACCGCGGTAGCCCTTGTTGGTCGTCGCCTGCCTGACTGCCTGACTGTGGAACCTGCTCGTACCGGACAACGAAAGACAAACGGCAGCAAGAAACGATGTACACTACTCCAATTCTGCAAGCAGCAAAGTATTCGGCATTTCGGGCTGTCTTGCTTGCAAAATAATCGCCTTAACGCTCGCAAGCGCTTCAAAACTCAATTTGGCTTTTTCCAAGACATGCCTCACAATTTTCAGCTGGATAGTTCGGATTAGCTGCATGCACAATAATCCAAGAGGTGTGCAAGATAGAGTCGTTCGCCCTCTTATGTCACCAATGAAGCAGTGTCAATGGTGTTCGACAGTTTTCCAAGTTGCTCAGAAATTAACACCACTTCAAACCTTAAAGCAAGAAGCAGGAAGAATCGGAACCAACTACAAAAGTTCGGGACCGCGCATCGAGCGCCTCAACAGCCCGAGTAAAAACATCTTACTTTCTGGCACAACATGCAGGATACACTCAGGAAAACGCACACAAATTCTCCGAAGGAAAGATATTGCGTGGGGGCTGGCTGGACGACGTTTAGGCCAAATAACTACTAGCTAGCAACACTAGCACAGACTACAGAAACAAGAACTCCGACAACACAGTGCCCAACCATGTTTACATTCGACCAAGACTGAGACTGGCACATCCGGCTCATTTTTGTTTGGTAATTTTTGTGTCTGCTCTTTTTGGTGTCGGTTTCGACTCACAGACTCGAACGCAGGCGGGCATGGCTTCATAGGTCGGTTTAGGTTCTGGGAGTTTCGGTTCCTGCCGAACGCGACTCCACTTAACCCCGCTCCAGTTCCAGAGTCCTCCATACGCATGGCATCCTATTCACATTGTGAATCTATGTGGGTGCACATGCTCCGGTACCTCCTTCGAAAGGTCGCCGAGGCGGCAGAACCGGCGCTCAGGGCGGAGGCGGAGCACTTTGAGGCAGCTGGGCCTGAGCAGGGTTCAGAAACTGGAGAAAAAGATGGAGGCGGGGACTGAAAAACTGGGGTGCCGCTGTGTCTGTTGGTTTGCATGCTGGTGCAGTTCACGCCATTCCTGTCACTAGCCGTATTCAAGGCCGTCGTCGTCGTAGCAGTTGTAGTTGCTGTTGCAGTTGTCGTTGTAGTTGCAGTTGTACTTGTAGTTGTAGTTGTAGTAGTTGTAGTCTGTAGTTGTTGTAGTGGTTATAGGTTGTAGTTGTTGTAGTTGTTGTTGCTGCTGCTGGTGTTGTTGTTGCTGCTGCTGCTGCTGCTGCTGCTGCTGGTGCTGGTGCTGGTGCTGGTGCTGGTGCTGGTGTTGTTGTTGTTGTTGCTGCTGTTGCTGTTGCTGTTGTTGTTCTTCTTCTTCTTCTTATTCTTCTTCTTCTTATTCTTATTCTTCTTATTCTTATTCTTCTTGTTCTTGTTCTGGTTCTGGTTCTTGTTCTTGTTGATGTTGTTGCTGCTGTTGGTGGCGTTGTTGCCGCTGGCGTTGTTGCTGTCGTTGTTGCTGCTGCTGCTGTGGTGGTTGTGGTGGCAGTGGCAGTGGCTGCGGCAGCAGCAGCGGCAGCGGTGCTAGCAGTAGTCGTCGTCGTCGTCGTAGCTCCAGTAGTAGCAGTAGCAGCAGCAGGCGTTGTTGCTGCAGTGGTCGTAGTCGTCGTCGTCGTCGCAGTTGCAGGGGTAGTAGTCGTCGTCGTCGTAGTGGTAGTAGCAGCAGCAGCCGACGTAGCGGTGATGGCGCGCTGGCGGCATTCTGTTGTTGCTGTTGTGCTGCAGATGGCAGTGTGTCGGCGTTGTTGTGGTCACGGCGGTCGCAGTCGTCGTCGTCGTCGTCGTTAACAAAATGGTGCTGACTAATGGTGGCAGCGGCAGCACAAAGGGAATAATGGCATTGGCAGCGGCGGTGCAATTGCAGCAGTGGTGGCAGCGGCCTTGCAACAGCAGTGCAACAGGAAGTAGTGGCAGCTGTGGTGCACCGCACGCTCGTAGGTGGTCATGTATATCCTCCAATCTTGGCAGATGAAAACCGAGCACTTCGCAGAACCATGCGCTTCTTGCGGTCCTGGGATCACAGAGCTGGCTCTGCATTAAACATGCTTACGGTCGGCTGCGGAAGGCTTCTGCAACCTGGACCTAGATGATGTGCATGCTAACACACATGTGGCTCTAGGAAAACTGTCGGCCATGCAGACGGTCTCCGGTGGCTCAATTGCAACACCTGCGATCCCAGCAGCATATGGGTGAGGAATGCCCTCGAATGTCTTCAAGCCTGAGCCAGAAAGAGCGTGCATCTGCACTAACTCTTGACCCCCTGCTGGCATGCCAGCGCATTATTCTCCCTTGCCACATCCTCTTCCTGGCGAAACCTTGACAATGAAACTGTGCAAAGCTATGTGCTGGTTGACCGTAGGACCTCGGGCTCGGGTCCAGAAGACGAAAACCGAAACCCCACTCGTGTCTGAAACTCTGCGAAGTGGCGATCCAATGCGGCAGCTCCTCGAGCGGTCTTGTGGGGAACCATGCCCCGGATGGTGCCTGCAGTAGGCTTGTTCTTCCTGCGGCTTGACGCGAAGTTGGGCTTGGATCACTTCGCGTTTATTCGACCATAAAGAGCGAAAGCACGGAAAAGATGCAGGCGGGCCGCGCCAAAGGATCTTTGATGGTGCTCGATAATGGAAAGGTCCTTGTCGTGGATTGGAGTTCATGTGCTTCCTCTTGAAGGCAGCCTCGCAGCGCTGACCGCTTTTGAACTCTTTTTGAGCTTCTATAGTTGAAGGCGCTGTCCGCGTGAGGACTTGCTAGCAGCTGCTAGCCCTACATCACCCTCTTTTTCTGCGCATGGACCTCACCTCTGAATCCCTATCGTCAGATCCTTCGGCGACGCTCCTGCATTGAACGATCCACCCGAGCCTGCGGAACTAGGTCATGATATCAACTAAAAGCTACGGTTACAGAAGCACTGTGGCGATCGCGCGAAACCCTGGCACCTGTGAGCCTGAAAGGCTTCTCAATTGATTCCACAGCTCGCACTGTTGCTGCAGAGTTGCATACTTCAGCTTGTTGCGGTAAAGGGATCCGGAGATGTTGATATCCTCTGAACGCCTCCGCAAGACGTCGACACCCTCTCCCATCTATAAAATCGAAACCCCAGACAAATGATCTCCCAATTTTGAAGTGCGGCCGAAATACACGCAGACAACGTGCTGTCCATTCAAGAGCTCCTGGATGGCAGAACTATGTCAGCCCAAAGAGACTGTAGCAAAGGCAATCGCAGTGCAGCGATGCAAACGAGTCTGAGACCAGCAAAACCAAAACTTACACACGCATTAAGAACTCCTTCGCCAGGACAGATGCAAGGCGACCCAGCAAGTGGCCGCGGCAATCGACCACAATCTGCAGACAGAAGGCAGACAGAAAGCATAATTCGGTCTGCTTCCCTGTACCGCTCTGCCTGAACTGACCTCCCCTGCAAACAGTGGTCCCGCATCGTGTCCCCGGATGCCCGCTGATGCCATAGCAAGTAGCTGGAAGCCCTCTAGTGCAAAAGTGTATCCTTTGAAGGTACCCCGTCACAGCTTATCCGGCTGCTTGTTGATTTTCGTCGCAAGCACAGTGATGAAAGTGACACTTCCAGCAGGCAGTGAAATCAGTAACAACCCTTTGGGTTGGAGCGTGCGGCGACTGGCATTGTCGTCAGAGGATGTTGACTTGCGAAGAGCCCAGCCGTGCTGCTGTGGTCCTGTCTGTCGTTCCAGTCGATGTCAATCTTGCCAGGTTTGCTCACAGTATTCTGAGCCATTTTTCCTGACCGCGACGTGCCGGCTGTCGACTTGGTTGGTGCTGCTGTGGCAAACCTCGGCTGAGGCAGTTGGGCAGGTCTCCTTGACGAAGTTTTCGTGTGATTGCTCCGTCCGCCTGGCGGGCATCCAACATCCAGACACATGTAAGTCTTGGGGCCTTGGGGGTCTCCCAGCAATCGACCTCGTCAGCACTGCACTGGCGCAGCTGTGTCCAGGAATGCTCGTCATGTGGGAGCCGGACTTCATGCCGCCGCCACGATTCCACATGCTGGTTTATGGCCAGACATGTCTGCGAATTTTCATTCACCCCAAATTCCAAGCTATCCTCTTCCACCTTGCAGCTCTTCGCGAAGCCTGCAGAACAAGAATGTCAACTTGGGACGTCTTGTGACAAGGCATTAGGCATGCTTGTCCTAGCCGCTAGCCTGCGCTCGTTCATCAGCTGATGCAGCAGAACATGATGCGCTCTTTCTAGCTCTTCCAGATGGGACGCACGTTGCTCTCGCTGCACTGTGCACCTTCGATGCGTGGACGTCTAGATCGAAGAATCTATCGAATCTCGTGTCCAAGAAAGGGTCCAGAGGGCACATCCTCAAAGCTTTACGCCGAGCCGCTGCGAGGCCTCGCCACCCTGCCCGGTCGCTGCTGCACTGGACCGGAGTCTGTGGCGCAGCCTCGGTCCGCCAACGGAACGAGCAGAGGCCAACTCGCAACTCGGACACTCCCTTTTTGCCGAGGCTTCTTTTCACAACACGCAAGGATAAACCTCATGACAGGTCATGATGACAAAACTGGGCTATCATCCTTACAAAGACCGCCACCGTTGTGGCACACACGGTGAAGCATGGCATATGATGTTTGGGAATAATCATGGGGGCCGCAATAGCGCCCATGCTTCGGCCCACACAACTCCGGGGTCACTCCCGGAAGGGTGCAAGGACTTGCCGACATAGCGTCCGTGCCGCACTTCCACAAAGTCTCCGTTGCATTCGGTGTCCAATGCCGCACTGAAATGGAGTCGACGGTCGCTCCGGCTGCGGAACTTCACCTTGATCCGAGCCCACTGGTGGGGATGGAAGAGGCAGAGTAAACGCCACATGCAGAGTCGACGGTTGCCCGAGCCAGCCACATGGATTCGCCCTTTGTGCCAGGAGACATCAAGGCATTCCAGCTCGGAGGGCTCGCAGCCCCGAAGGAGTTGCCGTATCGTGTCCAGGATGCTGGGGCGCTTCCATCCGAAGCTGCTCTCCTCCTGCTTGAAGCGCTCCGAGATGCTGCCGTGCGTGAAGTGCACGTGCAGGGGAGAGACCCAGTGGCAAGACTCTTCAGGACAATCGCAAAGCCTGAGATGAAAGGCCTGCAAGGCTTTCAAGTCCTTCTTGGCATCTTCCACGTCGACCAGCAGATGCTGAGGGCACGGAGCCAGATCGTCGTACTCCTTGCGGCACAGCGGACACTCGGACCGCTTCTTCCCGTCAGAGAGTTCGGCCTGCTTGGACCATTTCAGTGCACACCGCACGCAGAAGTACAGGTGGTTGCAGGTGCGCCTGCCGTTCTGCAAGAGTATTGCTGGCAGCACACCCTGCTTTTTTGAGATCTGCAAAAGGCTCGCAACACACCATGCAGGTCTGATCTCGGGGAATCACTGGACACACGTGCGAAGGCATGAAGCGAGCTCGCAACTCCTCCAAGCAGAACTCGCAAGTGTGGAGGGCATGGATGCAGTCTTCCATGTGGCTCTGCAGCTGATCAGCCACGTCTTCCCATGCGCAGCCCTCGTGTGGGCAAGGAGCAATCCGAAAGCGGCAGTCCGCATCCAAGTGAGCATCCAGTCGGCTTCGCGCGACAGGCTCGCCGCAGAGCTTGCATGGTTCTGGAAACTCCCGGCAATCAATAGCACAATGCTCATCAAGGAAACCTACCTCGCAAAGCTCTCTGCAGTATGGACATCTCTTGCTACGCATGCTGCACTCGCGGCGTAGATGAATCTTCAAGCCTCGTTTCTTCACCGCCGAGCCGCACTTGAAGCACGCTTTGCTGCAACCATCAGAAAAAGGCTCTGGCGGCGGAGGCACAATCCAAGTATCTTCTTCGGGCAGCGCCTCAGAATCCTCAGATTCCTCTGACGAGTCTGTCAGGCCAGCTTCCTCTTCTGGACCATTGCTGTTCGCTGCAGATGCTGCAGCAATCCAGTCGCGGCGCTGCTCCGAGTAATGTCCCGGTGGCATGTACATGCAGTCCCGCCTTGATAAGCCGTAGTGGTCACACAACTTTGTGACTGAAGCCAGGGCTTCCACTGCAGCAGCAGATCCAGCCGTGTCTTGCAAACCAACCGATCTTGCAAAGTGCGCTTGCGCCTGAAGAAAAGAGTGACCCTCTGGATTCAGAAGCCGCACCACGTGGCCAGACTTCAGGTCAGCCAAAAGCGAGATAGCTTGTTCAGCATCGCTGACCGCCTGCTCCCCCTCCCCAATGTAGCCAGCAGCTTGCGCGCTGTAAACATAAGCCGCAGCCATGAGGTACGAGTGCGAAGCTCCAGCATACATTTCTCCGCTTCCGTCCAGTATCGGTTTCAACTGCTTGATCACGTTCTGAAAAACGGCCAGGGCCTTCCAAACCTCTTGCCAGGGGATCTCGACCTCTTGCTCCAGAATCCTTCGTCCGAACTCAAGCTGGTCCGCGAGCCTGTGGAGATGACAGCAATGGTCGGAAAGCATACTGGGCTTGCTTTGGAGTGGGACGCAGGACGCTGCGTGCGAGGGCCAGGAAGCCAACTGGCACTCGGCAGAGCAGTAGAAGGCACAGGAGCATGAGCTGCAGCACCAGGCACCTAGTCTGTTGCATGCCTGGCACTTCTCCGACTCACCAACTGCCAGCAAGGTTTTTGTCAACTCTTGCAAATGGAACTGGTTGGGGAACTTCACCATGCAGGTCTGGCCATGGGCTGTGATGAGCTCGCCGCGCAGGCCACACCTAGAAGAAGAAACGTCTCCGCTGGCAACGTGCAGGACCATGGAGCCTGGTCTCAGGCGTGCCTGGTGCAGCCCGGGAGGACGGCTTTCGGCTTGCGTCGCGGGGGCATCGTCTGCGCTTGGTGACATCTTCTCCGGGGCATGTGTGGCAGAAGCTTCCTCTGCTTGAGAGCAGTCTGCGCCGATTGTCCAATCGTCTCGTTGCGCCGCAGCGACATACTCAGTCAGAAAGGCACCCCACAGCGCGAATCGTAGCAGTCTTCTGTCCACATCAACCCCAGGCAAGAAGCAGAGGCTAGGGAGATCTGAATCCAAGAAGCCACGGGCGCACATCTGAAACTCCTGGAAGCTGAATCCCACCAGCTCCTTCCAGTAGACTAACGCGTCTGTGGCATATATGGACAGTATGAGCTTGCGTTCCCACTCCCAAATCACGTGCCACTCGGCCAGCCGCTCTGCATCATCGGGGCTCAAGCTTGGAAGCAGCTCCGACATCCACCGAGCGTACGCATGGCTCAATCTCTGCTCCACTCGCGCTGACCAGTGCTTGCTTCGATTCTTCTTGAGGTGGACGTGCGCCTTCACATCTGCGGCCTGCCACGGCTTCAAGCACATCTGCTTCGCAAGGGCTTGCCATGTGGTCGCTGGGTGCTCCATCGCCAGAGCGGCCTGTTTCTGTTGCCGACACAGGTGTTCAACCAAAGGCTTCCGAAGCACACTAAGCGGCCTTGCATACACGCAATGCACAGCTGGACAGCAGATGTCAGTCCAAAGCGGAAGGGCTTCTTTCCACCATGACGCTGAATTATCTCCTTCTTTGTCATAAATCAACTCTTTCGAAGAAGTCCTGGCCATGTCTGCCAGCTTTTCGAGCACTTGCTGGCCATCACCTTCCTTGCCTAGCATGTCCAATGCTTTGCGCGTAATAAAATGCCACTTGCAACGGTCGGATGTGCAGCAAAAGCCCTTGATCCAGGGTCCAGCCCTTTCGAAAGGGTAGGTTGCCAAAACGGTCATGCAAAAATGATCAAACATTGCTCCGTTGATCTGCCCTGCCCGACGCCTGGAAAAAGGCTCCTCAAAGCCCCAAGTCATGTTGCAAAAGCTCGTGTGATAGAAGCGCGCTGAGTCACCTCCCATCACCAAACGCTTCAGGTTCCGAAAATCCATCCAAAACGGGAAGTCGATAGGAATCTTCGGCGATTCCTGCACCTCAGAGAATCGGACTCTCCGGCTTTGGGCTGCTGATACTCCTCTGCTCCTTTGCTCACAACCGCCGGCTGCGCCGAACGAGCCAGTCCTTGGTGCGAGGACGGGCGGCCAGTGTGCAGAAGCTGGAAACGATAGGCTTCCAGCGGCTCTTACCTTGAAACTTTTGCAACAAAGCCATGAGGAGCTCGTATTCCTCGTCTAGGCTCTGTGCTGCCTTCTGCTGGAACTTCCGCAGCACCTCCTCGAAATCCAGCACTTCATCGCCATCTTCGGCCTCTGAGGTATCGCTCGCATCGCTCTCCGCGAAAGTCGCCATGGCGAGCCAAAGCTGAAGCTTCCCGGGTCGGCTTGGTGCTGAAACAAATCACATTCACACCCAGGGTCTGGCATCCGCAGATTAATGTCGGGGTGTCCAGCTTCCTAAGAGCCAAGATGGCTACGGAAGGAGCAACGGGTTCAGGCTTGATAGCTTCTCAGTTTCAGCTGTCCCTGTGACAAGAATCAAAAATATCACGAGGTTCAAGCCTCCCGTAATTACAGGCCTTAGTGAAAAAACCAACTTCAAAACACGAGCCTCGGGATTAGGTTTAGTGTCCGGACGAGACCTCTCTCTGGGCCCGCAGCTGGTCAGGGGTTTGGATGCGGTATTCCTGGAGCACGGCACAGAGCTCACGCACGTTGTCAGGGAGGCTCGGATTCGTCTCCGACAGTCGCCCTCAGCGTCCAAAGCACGTTCCCTCTTCCTCTCGTCTCTCTGGAGAGCCCACAGACGAGCTCAGGGGGCGATTCCTACATGCAGGTTGTCGCAGCGCCTCGCGCTGACATGTGCTGCCGTGCGGCTGTCCAAACGGCCGGCTTCCTGGGATGGCTGAATCTTGGGCTTGCCGCGGACGCCAGCAAGCCGGCAAACGAAGACTATGCCGACAAGGATGCCAAGAATGGCTCCGAATGTGAGGAGCAATGCAAAGACTTGGTCGGTCTCGCTGCCTTCGCCTTCCTCCGTTGGGCAGGAGCAGTTGCAGGCCGCGACTTGGCTGTCGATTCCGCTCGATTCATTACCTGCTTCAGTGTCCGTCCATGAGTGTGTGGTTGTCACCGTTAGGGATGTGAAAGAAGCCGTCGCGCTTGTAGAGCTTGAGAGCGTTGAGGTCGTGGAGATTGAGCTGGAAGTTCTGGTAGACGCCTTTGCACATGCCAAGGTCGCACAGGGATACAGCAGTCATGAGCTAACCTGGCCCTTAGCAACATTTAACAAATTCGTTCACGAGGCCGTCTGAGTCCAAGTCGTGGTGGTCGACACTGTCGTGCTGGTAGTGCTTGTGTTCGTGCTGGATGTTGTGCTGGACGTGGTGCTGGTGTTGGAGATGCTGCTTCTGGTTTGGGAGGTCGACGTGTAACTGACAGTGCTGCTCGTGGTGCTTGAAGCCAGTGGTCCAAGCAGCAGAGAGTTATCATCCAAGCAAGTGTCAGAGAAGCGAACGTTACGCACTTCCATTCTGGCTCCGACAAGGCCACCACCTGTCGCATCGTACGAACCAAGAAAGAAACGCAAGAAGTACGTGCCAGGCGTGGCAATCTGAACTTGGCCATAAGACCAATCCAACTGCACATTACCACGTTTCAGCTCATGTGCAACCATCTCTTCCCCAGCATCGAAGATGGCAACGAGAATCTCAAAGGCATCCCGGCTTTTCTGAGTGTTGTACTCCCAGAGAATGCAATCACCCGCTGTCAAGGCCTTCGAGTCAGTCTGCACCATTGGTCCGATACACGTGCGGTAATTTGTGCACCAAGGGCAACTGCCTGGGGGCCCTTCCCCGCATTCCTGGGCCGCTGAGGGCTGCGGTGGCTTTCTAAGACTGGGCTGGGGCAGGAGCAGCTGACTTTCCTAGAGAGTTGATGTCGGCTCCCTTACAGAGATCTCCCATCCAGGACCTGCTTGCCAACACAGAGCTTTTTCTGCTGAGTTTCCACGAAGGACCACCAGGTCACGTGACCTTCAAACTCCATCTCCACCTCCAGAACCTAATTTGCACGCGCACATGGAACGGGGAATTGCTGAAGGCCTGCTAAATGCAGCGCAGCTGCATTGACAGCCACGTCTGAAACGTAGAGCTCCGAGCACTCGTAATGGGTCAGCGGGGAGCAGTCCTGTGACCTTGTCAGCCGAGCGAGTCTGCAACACGTTAAAGGCAAGACGCTGAGGCGGAGACACTGAGCAGTCGTCATCAGACTTCACAATGTCGACACAAAGGTTTTGTACATAGCCTGGCGCAGACACTTCACTAACTTGGGCCTCAGTCAGCACGAACTACTGTAGCATTGAAACCAAGGTGCTTTTGTAGGAAAGGTGGTTCCCGCTTGTTGACCTGACTTGAGCAACACGTGCAGCCATCGCAACGAATCTAAAGCGAAGCAAAGCCTTTTGAGGAAGCAGCGGGGAAGTGAACTGAAAGTAGTTCTGCAGCTCCGCAGCAGACATCACAGCGCGGCCCAGGGCAAGCCAGCCAAACAGCATTAGGGGCAGCTTTGATTTTGTTGGTGGTCGAATGTCCGGCACGATCTGAATGTTGATTCAAGTCTACGAATCAGAAGGTCGATATTAGCCAATGCATTCACTTCACACTAGCCGGCTCAGGCACTTCCTCCAAAAGATGTACCCACCTGTTTGTCGGATGAATAGAAGTCAAGGCCACTTGCGAAACAGCATTCAAACAGCCAGCGGAGCCTAAATCTGCCTGCTGCTACAGAGAAACTTCCTCTGTACACATTCAGAACGGCATGGATTTCATGACCTCCCCGTGCATGATACTGGGGATTCGTTCTTGCTTCCGCCAATGATGATGTCAACTACTGTCCCACCAGGAATGGCCCGTCTCAGGAACCAAAAACACTGTCACCCTGCCTGTGAGCTGAAGGACATCTTTCTGCGACAAGGCGGACGCCTCAGAGAGGAGGAGGGCAAGCCGAGGAAGCAGTAGTGTCAGCAGTTATACGGAAATGGACTGAACAGAATTTTGAGAAAAAACTGCCCCCGGTCATCTGTTTTCGCCGGATGCATCGGCCAAAATCAATCTCAACCTCCCAAAAAAAGTCTTGCCGTGAACAGAAAAAGCCTCAACGAAGGCGAAAGACATCCAGAAACCGTGGCCGTCGTGCCATTTTCGGGCTGCTCAGAGCAATCTCGTCTCAGTTTCATGGGGGCGCGGGCGAAGCGCAGGAACGACAAAGACAGCCTAGCGCGATGGATAAGCCATGGCAGCTGTATGGCGAAGCCGCTGCGAAAGCTGGAGACCACTCGATGCCCTGCGTGTGACATCCTCTTGCACGTGCCTTCTCCCACTTTCGCTCTGCGGTGTGAAACAAACAACAATGAGCACGAGCAATTCCATTGCCGGCTACACTTGCAGCGCCACAGTTCTGCGGCTTTGCATGACACTATCAACCCGGCCTCTCATGAAAAAGGGGTGTTACTTCATGTACGGGTGACCGTGTAGAGGTACTCCCCTGGTGCCTTCCGATCCTTGGCGTGAAGCTCCACGAAGGTGCGATGGGGGCCCATGGCCATGAGCTGCTGCCGAGTCTTCAATGGGTCTGGTCGCTCCGGGCCGGGAGGGGGCCAGTGAGGGCCCATGCGGTGAGCCGTGAGGGGCCCTGCCATGAGCTCTGGCGCTGTCAAGGAGCGGTTTAAGGTGCCCAAGCCAGCTTGACTGAGTGTGTCTGACACAGACTGTCCCGTAGCGGCGGCATGCTTCATGATGTGCGGCCCTGTGGCCCTCTCGATGGGCCCGAGTATCGCTGTGGAATTTCGGGGAAACTGGCTAAACGCCTCGGTGTAGGAGGTGCGTGCACCCTTCTTTTCAATCTTCTTCCGTGCAAAAGCCAGCTCTTCTGGGCTGAAAGCCTCGATCGTGAAGGTCTGTGGCCCATTCATCGCCGGACGATTGCGCCCCAGCCGCGCTGTTGGATGCAGGCCGCCTGTTGCAACAGAAAAAATGAATTCAGCACGCTCGCAGAAAAACAAAACACTGCCAAATGTTAGCCAGGGAGCCCTTGCCAGGTCCGGAACAGTTGGCTGGATCGCTGAAGAAGTAATACTTGTCCCATCCGCTCGATGTAAATCCAGACGGATGCTGCGATGGATCCTCCTCTGGGCTAAGAGGTGGTGGCTGGTATTCGTGCGAGCGCGCTGCAGCCACGCGGTCCTGGCAGGCGCAGGAAGGCAAGTTGCACAGAAAGACAGAAAGAGCGAGGGGGCGGAGCTGGGATTCTGGGAATAGCACAAGGGTCCCGCATGCTGCTGTCGCTGAAGTTCTGGTACTTCTCTTCGCTCGTCGGCCTGAGACTGAAGTTGTCAATGGCATTTGTGGGCAATGCAGACTGGGATAGCAAGACTCACACACATGCAGGGGCAGTACTCGTGAACTGCATCCAAGCAAGCGGCTTCTTCGGCATGTCTGCAACAAGTTGATGTGCGGACAGGCTCTATCAGCAGCTACTTGAGCCATGTGTCACTGAGCATCGGCATACTTGCAAAGTCTACAATAAAAAAGACAAATCCTAGCAGTGCATGTTTGTCTCTTTGCCCTGTAAACAGGAAGCAGCTGCTGCCGAGTCCAAGGCAGACACCTACGACGCGCACGGCTGGGAGGGACGTGTCGCAACCCTTGTTGAGCCAAAGCGTGCAATAGACCAAGAGACGCACCCTGCTCTGCTCTTCTAAAATCTAGAACATCTAGACTCCTGGTCTCCGAATCCACTGTGTCCCAACAAATCGCAACGAGCAAAGGGCCATGGAATTGGCATGAACCCATCGGACCCTTCGCGTGCTCTCTCCCCTGGCAACTCTGTCGTGCTGACAGACTGAAATCGTCCTCTTCCTCGGGCTCTGAGCTGGACTCGTTAAGCCTTGCAACACAACTAACGTGATACTAGCGTGGCATGGTGAATTCAGTCACTGGCTAATCAGATCGCGATCTTCTATGTCGAGGTGAGTATCGAGGCCAGCGCACAGCAAAGCCGGTGCCCAACCTCGGTTGACATCGCGATAAAAAGGGAGCCATGAACTGAAGAGAGCAACCCTCGTGAATCTCGACCCTGCTCCTACTACAGGAGAGCTTGGGGCAGTTGCAGCTTCGATTTCGTGCCCGGCGAAGGCCTGCTCAGATATCAGCTTTGGACTCAGCTCATACTCAGACAGCTCTCAGTTGTAGCAGGGTCGGAGACGACAGCGTCAAAGCCACGGCAGGCATCCCACTTAGTGTTTGGTACTCTTCTCGGCTTATGCGCATCATCCCTGCACATGGGCCATGCAATGCCACGGTGTGGCGCCTCTGCTGGGCAGGTGGAGGTGCCACACCTGGATTGGAACTGGGCCGACTGCGCCCTCGGTCCCTTAACTCACGCGCTTTCAGCATGCAGATGAAAGACAGAAAGAGCGGGCTCTGAAAGAGTGACAGGGAAAGTCCAGAGCCTGGTGTAGACGCTTCCTGGAAGGACAGAGCCGAAGCTACCCCGGAGGGCATGTTGCTTGCATCGTAACACTCACAGGACGGATTTGAAAGCCACGGCAAAAGAAGGATCTGTCAATCTCAATCTGTCGGACGACTTGCCCTTGGCCTTGCGCTTGTCTTTTGGCTCGGGCCTCAGGAGTTTGTTCCAACAACAACGACAACGACAACAACAACAACAACAACCACAACCACAAACACAACAACAACCACAAACACAACAACAACCACAAACACAACAACAACCACAACCAACAACCAACAACCGACAACCGACAACCTACAACCAACAAACACAAGACAACAGACAACGAACAACACACAACACACGACAACCAACTACCAACAAGCAACAACCGACAACCAGCAACCAAGACACAACAGACAACAGACGGCAAACACCAGACAACAAACAACACACAAGGCACAAGAAACCACGACCAACAACCAACAGCCAACACACAACGGACAACAGACAACAAACAACGAACAACACACAACGACCAACAACCAACAAAAGACAACCGACAGCCTAGAACCAACACGCAACAGACAACACACAACACACAACACCAACAAACGACAGCCGACAACCAACAAACAACAGGCAACAGACAACAGACAACAAACAACGCACACCACACAACAACCAACAAACAACAACCAACAACCAACACACAACAGACAACAGACAACAGACAAGAAACAACACACAACACACGACAACCAACAATCAACAACCGACAACCAACAGACAACGGACAACGGACAACAGACAACAACCAACAACCAGCAACCAACAACCGACAACCGACAACCAAAACACAACACACAACAAACAAGACACAACAACCAGCAACCGAAAACCAACAACCAACAAACAACAGACAACAACCAACAACCAAAAACTAACAACCGCGACACGCGACAACCGAGAACCAACACACAACAGACAACAGACAAGAAACAACACACAACACACGACAACCAACAACCGACAGTCGACAACCAACAGACAACAGACAACAGACAACAACCAACACACAACAGACAACGACCAACAAACGAGACAAGCGACCACCAACAACCAACACAGAACAGACAACGGACAACGAACAACACACAACACACAACAACCTATAATGCTCCGAAGCCCTGTTCACGCAGGCAAGTGTTTTTGTATTGTAAATATCACGAAAACACAACACTATTGTTGATTTGCCTGGGTGTGGAAATCACGCGCTTCTGCATCAAAACGCATTAAAACTCGAAGAATGGCTTCGGCGCAGCTGCCAACAAGAGTGTTTTGAAGCCATGAAGATGCCAACATAGTGAGTTCTGTTCGGTCTGTTCATAGACTGAGCTCTGTCAGGAAGTGTCAAAAACTCGAGGAACTTGAAATTTCAACGTTGCTAAGAACAAGAAGAAATCAAGACAATTGTAAGAAACATGTAAGAAACACAAAATTGCAGGAGCATATCGCATCGTAGAAAAGAACCAGGACCGCGGAGACCCTTGAGCACATGACAAAGTTATATGTGTGCTGTGTACCCACAAAAAACGAGGAAAATGTGAATCTCGGCTGAAACACATGCAGCAGGCACGCTAACGGAATCTCGTACGTGCAAACGCAGGACGCAAATATACTTCCTTTAGCTGTGTCTTGACTTGAAGCGATTGTGATATCTTCCAACATCGTGGCAAGCGCGGCAGTTCGTGACTTCGACGTGTTTGTTGACGTTTTGTTCAAGTTCTGCCAAATTGTGTGTTCATTTGTTTTCGGGTTTGCGTTTGTGGACACGTCTGAACGCCTGACAATAGCTATGGTTGTTGTGTGGTGGTTGTTGGTTGTTGGTTGTCGGTTGTCGGTTGTTGGTTGTTGTGTGGTGTTTGTTGGTTGTTGGTTGTTGTGTGTTGTCTGTCGTGCGTTGTTTGTTTGTTTTTTTGTTGTTGGTTGTTGTGCGTTGTTTGTTGGTTGTTTGTTGTTGGTCCGGTTGTTCCTTCCGAAGACCTGTACACGCGGATGTAGTATGTTTCGGGAGCCTTTCACCGTTTTTCCAGGGCTTTCGGATTTCAGGGCTCGGATGTGCCGGTGCACGCAGGGTTTTCGGACTTCGAGGGGTTCGGGGGAGAGGGGGTGGGCTAGTTCCGTCAGGTCGGACGCTTCACTGATGGTGCTCTTCAGACAGCCGTGCTGCTTTAGAACATGTCATCTCCGACACTTGACTTTTGCGCACTTTATTTTGGAGTCGTACTTCCGAAGAACATGTTGCGCATGCTGTCCTTCCTAATGCAACCTACACAGACTTGGTTTGTTCCTAAGATACTGGACTATAACTTAGCCATATTTACGCCCTGAGAATACCAAAAATCAACAACCAACAACAACAACAACAACAGCAGCCACGACAACCAACAACCAACATCCAACAACCAACAACCGACAAACAACACACAACAGACAACAAAGAACAAACAACACACAACACACAACAACCAACAAACAAACACACGACAAACAACACACAACAGACAACAAACAACACACAAAATCTAACAACCAACAACCAACAAACAACAACCAACAACCAACAGTCAACAGACAACACATAACACACAACTACCAACAGCCAAGAACCAACAACCAGACAACAAGCAACACCCAACACACAGCACACATCACACAACAACCAACAACCAACAACCAACAACCAACAAACAACACACAACAGACGACAGACAGCACACAACACACAACAACCAAAATCCAATAACCAACCACCAACAAACAACACACAACACGCAACAGACAACAGACAACAAACAACACACAACAACCAACAACTGACAACCAACAAACAACGAACAACACGCAACAACCACCAAGAACAACAACAGCAGCAGCAGCAGCAACTGCAGCAGCAACTGCAGCAGCATCTGCAGCAGCAACTGCAGCAGCAGCAGCTGCTGCAGCAACATCAGCAGCAACAGCAACAGTAACAGCAACAGCGGCAGCGGCAGCGGCAGCCGCTGCAGCAGCAACACCAACAGGAAGAAGGCGTCCTTCTGCAGCAAGCACGGCAACAATGAAATGCTCGGATCGCAGCAGCCACGCACAGCAGCAGCAACAAAAAGGGACTGAGGGAGTCTTGGCACCGGCTCCTAGTCAGAGACATAACTTTTTTTCATGTGACAAAATCACCCAAAGCAGGATTGACCCATGCTTCTGCCGAATGGCTGTGCTTGTTTCGGCGCTTCCTTTCTCGCTGCCTCGGATGTCAAGGGGCGCTTCTAGATCGAAGGTGCACACGATGCAGGACTGCCGCAAGCTTACAAGCACGCAAAATCTCCATCTCTTTTGGCCTACCGAAATTCTGGCCGAACGAGAGAGCGCCGAGCGCCCAGCCTTGCCCTTTGCGGCTTCCTTGGAGGCTCGTGGCTCCTGCGGCATCGCAGTCTGCATCGGAAAAACCGAAAGACGGAGAGGCTCTCTCGTCCTTCACCTCGAGGCCTCCGGTCCTCAGCCAGGAAAAGTTAGAGAAGGACAGATGCTCAGGCAGACTGAGCCTGGGACACACTGATGCTTTTGATATAGCCGTGAAGCAGCGCCTCCACGTTGCGGGTACCTTTCTTGGGGCTGAACCTGAGCCGCATGCAGCATTTCACAGCGAATGTTCAAGTGTTAAGGTACATTCACATCTGGGCCTGAGGAGTATGCCCAGACAGCACCTGCCTTTGCAGATTCGCCGGCAAAGACTTCACAGCCTGCGCCCTTGGTGGATTTTTCTGATCGGGAGGACACGCCCAAGGCAAGAATGTGGAGGGCCCAGACGTGACGGGAGAAAGCTGCCAGCTCTGAATGAAAACCAGCAGCTCCTGAGCCAAGCGACGTCGACTTCTGCACCGTGCCTTCTACTGGGATCTGCACCGCTCACTGCAAACGCGCGCAGACTTGGTGCAGCATATTTTTCCCCAGCTTGCTTTTTTCCCGAGACAGGCATGCCTTTGGCGTGGTTGGCGGAAGGACCAAAAAGCCGACGCTCTTCTTTGCCCCGAGCCCTGGCTGGCAACGAAGGAGTTCTTGGCCTGCAGCCAGGTGTCATGCACTGCACGATCTCTGCAAACCCGACTGCAGCACATCCCCCGACAGCAAACATCACTCGGCGGCGGCTGGACTGAGTTTTTGTTTCATCGCCACACAAATCCGTGCACCGAAGCAGTGCACACGAAAGTTCTCCAGAGCTGCACCAGAGAAGCAGTGTACAAAATGGGGTGTGCTGCATCTGGACGTATGAAAGCATGAGGCAGATTGTCTGAGAGATGACTCAGGATGCTACGGATTCGCCAGCCAGTTGCCGCTTGAATGATATATGCCTAGCTGGCTCAGCTGTAGTGCAGAGCACAAGCGCTGTATGGGCGGCTGAACCTGTAGACTGAGCATCAAACTTATGAAAACAAAGTACAATTAGCAAGCAAGGCCGACAAATGAAAGAGGCCCTGCGTGCAAAGCTCAAGACTTGTGCCATCTGCTGCGAGAAAGCCTGCCTTTGAACACAAAAAAGCCTTGTGACAACTTACTGCGTGTCGGTCGTGATGATGCTGCAAACCCCTCCCTGGAAGTGGTCCAAGTATCTACGCAGCGTGCCAAGTCTGAGAGTATGAAGTCTAGATTCCAGATGCTTCTCTCCTGCGAAGCACACTAGAATCTGCTAGAACCAAGAGAGATCGTGGCACTTGTGTGGCTTTGCAAATCGCTCAGCCGCCGAATTGGGAGTCTTTTCACATTCAACCTTGGCTGGCAGGCTTGTCATGTCGGACATGACACCGACAAAGTACGTGGACATGGACCTACATCATCTCCGCACCGCCGCGATGCCGGCGTGATTCGCAGGTAGGCTTCATGAAGACAGCATGCTTCCAAAACGGCTTCAACGCGTAGCCTGCCATCCCTGGTTTGTTGGGGCCCTAATATTAGTACCCTCAGGCTCCTAAGCTGCAGCGGGCTTTTTTCTTCATTGCTGCAACCCAGGGCAGTGTTTAACCCTTGGGAGCCTCGGACTGTCTCCAACCCCGACACGCTCCGCCACCATTCTGACCCAGGAAGCCGATGCAGCCCGGTCTCGGCAGCAGCTTTGCAGGGTGATTTTGCCAGGTGACCACAAGCTGGTCCTCTGCTGGTGCCGTTGAAGAGTACACCAGAGTTCCAGCGAGGCAAATATGCCCACAATGTACAAAGGAAGCGGCTTGCTTTGCAAGCCAAAACCGACAAGCCGACCCGACTTGAGCAAATCCTGCACGTCGGAGGCTGGCAGAACTGCACGCATGCACTGCCATTTTCGCCGAAAGAAACGAGAAGTACCGTCTATCCTTTGCCGACTGTGTCCGACTGTCTGTCCGCCGCAAACGACAAGTGCGGCCACTGCTTTGCACTGTGTTGTGAAACCACGAACTTACCACGGACTTTGGTGGCGCGAAAAGCTAGTCTCCCCCTCTAAAGATTTCATCCTGAATATCATGAGGTCTTGGGCGCGATTTGCACTTTGTTGGCTCTTGAGTCCCGTCGATTTACTGGCCTGCTTGCTGTCAATCAACCTCAGGACCGAAGCAACATGCAGGCGCTTTTATTCTGGATCTCAAGGGAATACATGACGGATCTGAATCGCACCAGGGAGCTTGCAATCGCGCATAACACGTACAAGCTTGCTAACCTTCTTGTCTAGCTGCTTGATATCGGAATGCATGGCGACCTGCGAGTGTCTACGGCATGTGTCTGGGCATGCAAGACAGCACTCGGCAAACCTTGCCTGATCGATTGCTCGGGCAGGGCCCTGTCCAACCCAGACATGCGTGCAAATTCATGCACTGGGAGAGTCTGGCTGTGTGTGTGTGTGCCTCTCTCTGTCTGTCTGTCTGTCTGTCTGTCGGTCGGTCGGTCGGTCGGTCTGTCTGTCTGTCTGTCTGTGTCTGTCTGTCTGTCAGTCTGTCAGTCTGTCTGTCTGTGTCTGTCTGTCTGTCTGTGTCTGTCTGTGTCTGTCTGTCCGGGACTGTCTGTCTGGGTCTGGCTGTCTGTCTGCCTGCCTGCCTGGCTGGCTGGCTGTCTGTCTGTGGGAGGCGAGGGGAGGGGAGGGAAAGGGAAGGGGACGGGGAAGGGGAAGTGGAGGGGAGGGGAGGGCAGGGGAGGGGGGAATGCGTGCGTCCTTGCGCAAAAATGGGCGTGCGCGTGCATCTGCGACAGGGTTTGCGCATGCCTGTGGACACAGCTTTGTTCGCCACCGCGCTCGCTGTCGCGTCCGTCTGGTGGGCAGGCGGGAGGTTTGTAGACAGCGACAACGACATAGCATCATGCATTTCCGGTGGTTGTAATCGAGCCTTGCAGCGACATATCCCGTCAATGAACTCCTCCAATGTGACCTGCGCTGGATGCAGTTCTTGTTCACGTGCTAGTACCACAAGGAAGGCAGCAGCAGCTGTAGCAGCAGCAGTAGTAGCAGCAGCAGCAGTAGAAGTAGGGGTAGCAGTGGCAGTGCACATGGCACTGGCCGTGGCCGTGGCAGTGGCAGTGGTAGCGATAGTAGTCGCAGTAGTCGTAGTAGTCGTCAGGTCGTCGTCGTAGTAGTAGTACTAGTAGTAGTAGTAGTAGTAGCAGCAGCAGCAGTAGTAGCGGGAATGGTAGTTACAGGGGAAGTAGCAGCAACAGTAGTAATGTAGTAGTCGTCGTCGTCCTGGCAGCGAGTGGTAGTGGCAGCGGTTGTGGTCGCGGTCTGGTGTCCTGGTCGCTGTCGTAGTCGTAGTCGTCGTACTAGTGGTTGTAGTAGTTGGAGAAGTATTATTACCGCTACTACTGGATACCACCACAACAAGCAGCAGCCCTGTGTGCGCAAGGCACGCTCAGAGGTGGGACTAGGCATGATCCTCAATTCTGAATTGCATCCGGTGCTGAGTGTGGTGCTTCGTTGTGACCATTTCTGTTTCTGTTGCAGGGCATACGCGACATTCTCGGTTCAATGCAGTTTCAGAGTAAAGGCTGTTGAAAGAAATACAAACCTGCGACATGTCCCGTGACTTGTAGTCGCACCGCGGCCTGGCCGTCTCCATCATCGAGGAGGTGGAAAAGAGCAGCAGACTCATGCCTCAGGGCATCCATGCAAAAGGAAGAAAGCTCGTGCTTCACCTACTAGCCAGAAAGGACCACCATCTGTATCAAAAGGCAGCAAAAAGCCAATACTAACGGAGTTCAAATTCATGTTAGCATTCACAAATGGGTTTAGCTTTCAGCGTCGAGAGGCACGTCGACGTCCAAGGTAGCAAAGTAAGCTGCCACCTTTGGGTTGGACAGGATGTCGGTGAGTCTCTCTTCTGTAATCAAGCCATCCCCGAACTCATCGATGGCTTTGAAGAAGCTTTCGAGCTTCTTGACGTACTCCGCCTTCTTTGCCAGGTTCTCGGCAACCATGTTGTCCGCATCGCTGTGTGCAGCATCTAAGGTATCCTCAGGACTCAAGGGCATCAATCGAGACCGAATTTGACAGCATGGAGTGGAAACAACATGTCGGAGGAAAACAGCATCAGCAATCCTGCCGAGACACTTTGAGAAAAATGGCGCTGATTACACGTATAACCGCGAAAACAATAATGGTTATGTAGCAAACGTAGAAAATCGCGAAGTAGGCGCTCACCTGGAAAGCATCCGCAGTAAGCGAAACGTTCACATGATTTTCATTGCAAAGGGAATGAGCAAGGCACCTTCTCCACCACAGGTCTTGCCCGCGTTGGCCAATTCCTCGACTTTCCGACGTACGTGTGCACCTAGACCCGCATACATGCTTACATTTGCATTACCTGCAATGGATGTGAATTAAACACGGAGGCACTTGCTACACAAAGGTACGTGTTGGCACTCGCGCTCGACAAGGTCAGGCGAGGATCCTTTGTGTACATATACACGCGCATGCACACTTGCAAGCTAATATGCATACATTTTCAGCACTCCCGCTCGACCAAATCAGGCGAAGTTTGTTGGGTTGGCGTACAAAGCTTCCCAACCCTTATTTCGAGCCCAGACTGGCCCAAGTTCCATGTCTAAACTGGAAGGTGCAGAAAAGCAGTAAACAAAGCTGGTGCTCCCGACGTTTCTTCAAGCCCTCCACGTAGCTTCCAAAGGATCCTCCTTTCTTTCACGGTCTCGAAAGCTGAAGCTCCTATCAGCAGTCACATTCAACAACACCCTCGTCACCCCCATGACATCTGAATGAAGTCGTCATGCATCTTCCTTCACCTCCTTCCGTCGCCACCCATCTTGGCATCCAGTAGCAGGTCAGATGACGAGCCAAACCAGCGTGAAGGCATGCAATGTTCATCACCTTGCTTGCTTGCTTGCTGGGGGTTTGGGGTCAAGGACCCCCGGCCCGAAGGCCAACCCCTCAACGGTTCGCGACAGTCTCGTCTGGCTACCCCGTATTGGGGTTTTGCGGGTGTGTTCCCGCCAGGTGGCACACTCTACCCTCCCCAAAACACCCCTGCTAAGACCGTGACCTGATAGTAAAACCCCCGCTGTGTGCTCCCCTGGGTCCTCCACACCGCATTCTACGGTCGTCCCTCGACGAAGCTCCACTCTGTGAGGGACGTGGGGTGTGCCAGTCGACAAAGAAGCACCAAGTATGCAACAAATGTTCATCACCTCAGCCTCTGTGTCTTTTCGACCACGTGGGGCCGTGATGGGAGGGCTGCACGTCCTCACAGGTTTTCTCGTCTGCGGTCACGACCTGACGGAGGTATTACTCGAAGGCCGAACTACATTGGCCACCGGTTCGAGGAAAATTGTTTCGAGCTAAATCACCTACTTCATCTCGGAGTTGGTCGTGCTGTTGTTAGTAGAATGCCGTGTTCTTGCCGAAGGCATTCGAGTTCTTGTCGGACTTCCCGAAGGGTCTCTTCGAGAATCTGTCGATGTAGTCGTTTATTATGGCAGTGGGCCAGTCAAACGGTGATGGGAGTACAATGTCCTTATACTTCTCGGAGCAGATCTCGTAGTTCGTCTTGCGCAGCAACAGCTTGTTGAAGACGTCTGCCTTCTGCTCGTCGTTCATCGGCTGCGAGGTTCTGTCGATGGTAGCGGCTGTCGATGCATTCGCAGGCTTGGTCCAATCGAGACAAGACCGTCTCCTTGTGACCCCAGCGGTGGGCCTCGAAGTTGTCTCCACAGGTGTATCTGCCGTCAGCGCGCATCGACGGACTCCTCAACCGGTTGCCACCAGTCCATCGGAGGTAGAACCGGCGCCATCGGGACAAAGACTATCTTGAACCATGCAAACGACCGGGTGCCCCGCACAGGGTTCTTTGCTGAGCAGGAAATCTTTGGTGCGGTTGCCTTACCGGAGTGGCAGGCAGGATGTTCACTGCGAATCTGTCGGACGGTTTATTTCGGTGTCTTGATCGAAGTGTCGCTTCGACTGGCCATGCATCGCCTAGCTGGAAACGGCGGTTCACAAGGAGAGGATTCGTTGACGATCGAAGCGTCGCTGCGTCGCTCCGACTGGCCGTGCATCGCCTTCGTGGAAGCGGCAGTTCACAAGCAGAGGATTCAGCGGAAGCACGTCGGGAAAATCGGTGTGTCTACATACGCTTTTCCTGCTGACATCGCCTCGGCGGAACAGACAGGGAAATGTAGAAAGATCGGTGAGATCTCACCATCAATCGGTGACCCCTAGTCCGCGCGGTGGGCATCTCGGCGTCGGCCCCTAAGCATCTCGAAGTGCTCCTCATCGACGTCCAGGAAGCTGCGGTCGCCCGCCATGTGTTGGGCCAATCGCAGGCGGATGTAGCAAAGCGCCGTAAAGCGGAGGAAGTCATTCTGTGACACGACGAAGGTGTCCAAGTTGTGTAAACTGCGAAGTCGTAGGTCGGGGGATCCGTGCGGAACTGAGTCAAATCATAGGTCTCGAAGTGCTCCTTGGTGTTTGCGGTCTCATCGAAAGGCAGCTGGGGGGTACTTGGACCGTCGGGATCTGTACTTGTTCTTGATGCTGCAGTTGCGATCGAGGATGTTCGTCATGTTCTCGAGGGTCCACGACGTCTCTTCGAAGTACGGGAGAAGCTCGTACTTGACGGACTCATCACGGATTGCTCCCTCAAGCTTGGCTCACAAATCGTCGCCGCCGAAATCGCTGCGGCAACCGGCCATGATTTGCTTCGATTCAATCGACCGATGAGAGCGTCGTCGTCTTCACGCTCCCGTTCCATCAAGTACAAACGATGCTCCGTACTCGGCTTCTCGATGCGTTGACCTCGAGGTGGATCGATCGCCGGTGGCATCGAGGATGAGAGCTTTCTGCACGGGGACCAAAGTCGGGCCTTGCAATGAAGATACATTCGTACGGAGTGCATGTGGGCGGCACAGCATCAACAATCTGGCCATGTGTATAGGCCGTGCTGCTCGCTGACGCGGTAGTCATGCGAGATCTGCCGGAGCCAATCATGATTGTGTCTCACCGACGTGCACTCCTTCGATCGGCAGATAAAGCGTCGGTCGATGCTCTCCGTTAGCTCAAACAGGCAATCGGTGAGCAGAGCCTCGTCGCAAGCGAAGTTCCAGAATTGATCGCCATCCCAGTGAAGGTCGATGGCTTCGGCGATCGAAGCTTTCTCCCAGTCGGCGAAGGCCTTGAGAACCCGCGCCCCGCGTTCCTCATCGAGTCCATCGATGTCAGCGAAGAGCCTGTCGGTGAGTTGCAAGATTCGGAGCCGCACCTCCTTTCGTATCTCGCTGCTCGAGGATCCTGGTCTCTCGGCGTAGGTGTCGTCGCACATTTGCTTCCATGTCGTCGTTCTTTGTCGGAGATTCTCGGCGACATTGTTTCGTCGGATTGTTAACACCTTCTGGCACAGTGTGTACCAATCGAAGACCCCGATCTCGGTGGAATCCTTCGTCGAGTTGTGGCGGAACACAGGCTTGCGGATCCGCCGCTGCTTGCGATTGACCCAAAACGACTCGAAGAACATCTTCCAGTGGCGGTTGTTCCGGGTGTCGATGGCGACCTGCCAGGCAGTACTCGGCGACCCTTTCGTTGTGCCGCTCGCGCTCTGCCTCGGCACTGCTGAGCATCTTGATAGGTCGAGGAAGGCCCTCCTCGGTGATATCTTCACCGCCATGAATTCCGCATCGCAGGAAGTTGGGAACACTGTTCGAAGTCGAGCGATACCCATCTGCTCGGAGGCAGCCTTGAAGGCCATCGTCTCCAAAGCCGCTTCGGTCGTGCCGCTGTCAGAGTATCGGTGCCTCTGCTTCGCTCGTTGGCCCTCCTCGGAGTCCCGCCTCGGCACCAGTGGTCACGAAGGATGCGAGGTGTTGCTGACTCATAAGCTGAGTCGCGGTGTACTTTCGAATCAGCATCGTTGTCACGCTGTCCCGACGTGTCTTCGGGGTAAACGAAGAGGGGTGCTTCGACGATGGCTTGGGAAACTCGAGCCAAGCTACCGGAAGCCAGACAGTCTCTAAGGAGAAAGTACGTCCTGCCACCCATGACACGCGGAGCCTAATCAAGAGCTAGAGGACACCGTCATATTCCGTCATATATGGTAATTGCCCAAGGCGCATCGTAGGTGAAGGCGTCAAACGGAGGTAGCATCGCGACAATATCTGCGCGACTTGTGCAGCCACCTGTGTCTGTCCCTGTGTCCGTCTGGGGCTTGTCAGGCACGGGAAAGCTGGCCGCGGTGCCTTGGCATGTTGCTGAGCAGCGCCTCCACTGCCGACATTTCGCGAGGAGGGCGGTCGTCGTCGTCTCCACGTTCTCAACACCTTCTGGCACAGCCCGAGGATCTGCGAGTGGCACCCTCCCAGCTCGCCCTGGAACTTTTTTGAGCTGGCACTTAACCCCAGGAAGGTCCGGGTCCCTAGCCCAGTCATCGAGCCTCCTCTGCGTCGTCATGGTCCGTGACAACACCGCATCGCGGTGAGTGTCTGCCAATCTGAGCGGCTATCTCTTCCACTGCCAGGTAGATGTGTCGGAGCGTTCTTGCCGCTGGGAAGCGTCTTTCATGGCTCATGCTTAGGGACAGCCGCAGAAGTCACACTCACAGTCCTGAACTGAGCCCCAGCAAACCTCGCAAGACCCCATCGAATGCACCCAGCCAGAAGAAGGCTGAAACAGGTTCCAGTTGCCAAGGATCCGAACCTCCACATCGCACCTAACCGAAAGGAACCCAAATCTAAATCTCCATCATCAGAAGGGTCCACTGATTTGCCTATGAAGGCCTAATCGAAAGGCGAGTGGCCGCGTAATCCGACTTGACCCCCGAAGATCCCAACCCCAAGGCTTGTATATAGCCCAAGTAAATCCACTCCAGACCCGATCAGCGGCTAACCCAGAAACCTACAGGAATCACGACAAATCAGCCAGGCAACACTACAGCCATTCCAACACACCTGCACCGAAAACGCGTTGACATCCAAATTCGTACAATCCTGATCGCCCGACGCCAGAGGTAGGAACCCTGCTGCTTGGGCTACAGATTTCTTTCCGATGCATTTTGCAACAAGGCAGCCTGAAGCCTTAGGAGATCCGCCCGCGTTGTCCAGATTTCATCAAGACAGAAGCGTGTCAGATCTGGTTCTTGGTGTGATGGCCCCGGCTTTCGCTCACGGTTCTCACGGCCTAAGGTGTGAAGCCTCAGTTCGAGGCTCGCAAACGCCCTCACCACTGCTTCCGTATGCGATGCATAGACACTTACATACACGTACATGCATGCATGCATGCATGCATGCATGCATGCATACATACATGCATACAAACATGCACAGAAAGAGAGTGTGTATATATTTATTTATTACTTTTATATTTTATATTTTATATTTTATATTTTATATTTTATATTTTATATTATATATATTTATTTATTTATTTATTATTTATGAGTGTGCAGCCGTACACAATCAAGTGTGACTCCAAGCCTACTGAGCTCTTGCAGTAGACGAAGCCATAGAAAATGTCCAGTTGAGTTGCAGCTTATTGAGTAACGGATTCCTACGAAGGAAATCAGGAGCCTACTAGCAGAAGAGTAGCCTGCAAAATACCTTATCGACTACCCCTTCTATATACCTGGCAGAATTTCACAGAATACCCTGGGTAATACCAGAAGAGTATATCCTATATACCCCGTATATACCTTACGGAATTCCCTTGAGCCTATAGAATACTTTATAGAAATCGCTTCTATATATACACCCTATAGAATACAATTTATACAATACCTTATCAAATACCCTATAGATACCCTATAGAAAGCCCCATAGAATACCTTGCGTTTCTCCTATATACAATACATAAGCCTATCTGGAAGATTGCATAGACTGTACATGATACCCCACGTATACCTTATATATACCCGTGAGAATTCCCTTTGGAATACCCGACAGAGACCCTAAAGACAAGGATTCAGGAGAAATCAGGAGGAGCCCAACATCTGTAGCTTGTTGAACAAGGGATTTTTGTGAAACAAACGAGGAATAAACGAGAAGGGCCTGTAGAATATCTTACAGAATACCCTTTCTACACACCTCAAAAAATTCTTACAAAATACGGTAATACTGATAGAATACCCCCATAAGCCCTGTATATACCTTGTTGAATAACAGCTATATGCATACTCTATAGAATACCCCATAATACCGTATAGAAATTTTACAGGAAGAGCATTTACAAAAGGAAAGATCGGGAGGAGCCCCAAGGGGCCCAAGGTAAGGGGTTCATATGAAGGAAAAATGCGGAATCGAGGATCTAGGAACTCCTTGAACAAGTCGAAACTTATATATCTAGTAAGAGGGATACATATAGAAAACAGGATACCTTATAAAATACCCCCCTATACATACCCCTATAAAATACCTTCTACAATACTTTTGGTAGAATAACGTCTTACAGAATATGCTATACAACTCCCCCGATGCACCCTACCTACACCTTCTAGAATACCCTCTGGAATTCCCTGTAGAATGCCTTATAGAAGACCGCCTATGTACCCTGTAGACTACTTTTTAGAATGCCCTATACACTACCATCTGGAAGATCCTGTAGTAGAAGACCTTGCA